TTACCGACAAAGAGCAAGGGCATAGTCGGCTTTCATTACGTGTTTTCCTCGGTCTTTTGTATAATTGAGATAATTAATTTGATTAGTAGGACCAACAAAAACAAAATAGATTAATGTAAATTACTTGAATTTTTTTACATTTTCTAGTGCCCATGTGCACGCTCGGGCACTTGGCTGAGATTTTTCTGAAAAAGTTAAAGATGAAAAAGTCATAATTGTGAAAAATATATATTTTTTAAATCCTTTAAATTTAAACTTATGGAATGAAACGAAAGCGTTAGTAAGCGACAATAATTCATGCACTTTACCGCATTGAGGTTTTCTACAGCATTAGTTTTTGTTGCGCATTTAAGAAACATTTTCATCGTTCCATCACTTATATTCTCTAGCTCCCTCTCACTCTCTCTCACTCTCTCTCACTCACTCTCTCTCTCTCTCTCTCTTTCTCACTCTCTCTCTCTCTCTCTCTCTCTCTCTCTCTCTCTCTCTCTCTCTCTCTCACACACACACACACACACACACACACACACACACACACGCACGCACACACGCGCGGGCGCACGCACACACACACACACAGACTCACTGACTGGCTCTCTCTATCTTACTCTTTTCTATCACTCACACTAATGATTTATGTAGCAGCAAATTAAGGCAAGAGAAGTACTAAAACGCCACATTCTAAAAGTTTAAATTAGCAATACTCAAACTTTCATTAGATCAATGGTCAGGAGATTGTATGATTACCAAAATACATTGTTAATAGTAATAATAAATTATGAGTTAGAAAGCTATTTTTTGGCAATATTTAAAACGGATTTCCGACGGAGGAAATAGGAAAATTTCGTAAAGCTGAAAAAAAATCCTATGCACACATCCCTGGCCAAGGTACCTCGTTTATAACGTAAGGTCGTTTTATACGTCGCATATTCTTGAAAATATCGCATTTCTTTCCCATATGGAGTAGGCAGTCGTGCAAGACTTTCACGAACGCTATGACAACCTACGCAACATAATGTTAGGTATGGGTATATTTTTATACAAAAACTCTCTCGTATATGTTGCGAATATATTGATTAAACTATAATAAATTATGAACTTATTTAGAAAATTTTCACGTTTAGAATTCACTCGTTCTTTGTTTTTGATATTTTTTCTTTTGCACAAATGTTTTTTAAATTAAAATGGTTAGGAATGGTTAGTGTTACCTGGTTGATACAGTAATTTTAACTTACTATAGTAATGTTTTGACTGTAAAAGGAATAATAAAATAAATACGGAACTACGATCTACGCGATATCTCAAATGGGATGTATCCGTCCTATGGATAATTAATGTTCATCAAAAAGATTAATTATTATTTTTAACCCTTTTTTTGTTATAGAATAGACGAGTCTTGGCTTATCTTGTTCTCTCTAAATCCTTTTTAGTTTTATTATTATTCTTTATTCGGTATTGACTATGACAAGTGTTTAACACTAGAATAAGCTAAAATTACTAGGCAATGAGTGAGGACAGGAGTATCAGAGGTGATCATTAACCGTGAAATCCGGTGTCAACCGTTCATCCACTCGCCGACGACACAAGCCACTTTCACAATTGAGGCACTTTCCCAAGGTGTTACCGACAAGGCAATCTGAAAAGCTCTTCTACCGATAGAAAAGTTAAAACATTTTTACTCCCCCCCAGCCCGGCCAATCTCAGTTGCACGGCGGAATAACAAAATCTGTTGAAATGATATGAAAGGTCAGAACGGGCTGACCCCGGTTGACGTTTTATATAAGTGGCCCGTGATGGAGGAAATTTGATAAAGGAATTGAAGAGGTATATCGTGTTGTAGGGAGTGAAGTTTTCAGGCGCACGGTGCATACTTAAGTGGGCTTGGGGTTTGTCCGGATTGACAGGAAGCCATCATTCCCATACAGAATCCACGATTACATCCCGTATGACTTCGATGCCCTATGAGCAAAGGGTTTGGCCAAGTTGAATGTTCTCTTTCTCCTTTTATAACGAGTTCTCTCAAACACGCTCATAAAGTTAAATTTAAAATCACAAAAATATTTAACTATGATCATCTAACAAACACAAAGATTAAAATGAGTTCAAAGATTCTTAAAATACATAAAATGTTAACTAATTAAGGGCACGAGGTAAATGAATGCAATCAGCAATTTTCGAATCAAGAGTCAATTAGAAGATAGAAGATGCTTTCTCGCATCAATGCTCCTACAAGCCGGACACTCGCGTGCGCTTGAATGTAGCTTGGTGCCATTATGACCACCTTAGTTAGTAATTTTGCCGTTCAAAGGCATATCAAAGCTTCCTCCAATTATAACAGGGGTCAAACAGAAAATGTTCCGTTTTAGTAAAATTTTCTATCCGGAAGGGACGATTAAGTTTGTATCTTTTGTCCTCTAATTTTAAAATCTTCTCATTTATTTATTTTATAATTTATAGACTTAGAATTTATAGATCTACTTATACGGTTCTATTGTTGAGCCCCTATAAATTATAACCATACCTTGAAAGTGTACTTTTTCTTAAAAAAACTAAGCAGATTCCTTGATGCCTTTTCACGAACCTCTTTTCGTGTAAGAATTGCCTTACCGAATTACCGTAACCAAATAATGAAATAATGAATTTTTCATCTCCTTTAATTTGGTTTACATTATACTTGGAATGCTGTAATTAAAATAACGACAAAATTACATTACTTAGTTTGAAAAAAACCACAAAAAATATGAGTGTCCTGTTCTGAAGCTACTCGTCGAAAATGGTGTAATTTTATGAGCAAAACCAAGAAATAAATTGTTAGTTAAATTTCATGAGCAAAACCGGGTAATAAATTGTTAGTTAAATTTATTATATCAAAAAATGTTATTCCGGTGTTTTGATCAATTTTAAACCAAATCATTAAAATTAATTGTTTAAAATAAAAACTAATGAATTTTTGATCTCGGTTAATTTGGTTTATATTAAAATAAGTGTGTTGTAATTAATATAACGACAATAATACATGTAGTTTGAATAAAATATGAGTGTACGGTTCTTTTGTCTTCGACTGTACTCGATGTGACCCGACGAAAATTTGGATAGTGGGGATCGCAGAACATAGAGTAAGGTAGCGTTGCATAATGCATAGCATCGGGCAGATGTGCACGGGGGTAATACAGTAATACAATCTTATGGAAAAATGGACTTTGGATTTGCGTCGGGTAGCATCGGGTAGCGTCGCATGGCGTTGCATCGGGTAAGTGTGTTCCCGGCTTAATGCTTCACATTCACAAAAAATATTTACCGATTTCTCTGTATTTGTATTTGTTCGACATCTTTTTAGTTCTAACATTAGCACACAGTCCAGTGCACCTAGCTGTCGTTCTGGTCCCATGGGTGAGAGGTCTGCCCTTCTGTGGCTAGTTGGTCAGCTTGTTCATTCACCTTCAAATCCATTAGTTTTTTTATGGTTTCCTAGCGCAATTCGGCAATTTAGGCACTTCCAGACTGGTTTGTAGTTGAAAGCATACGGATTTAGTGCCTTTATGGCTTTCTACAATAGCTGCCTGAGAGAATTTAAATTTAGCACCTTTCATATTTTTATTTATTAACTCTTATGCAGAGCGTTGTATGCATCGACTCAACTTGGAAAATTTGGGATTAGTGCAAGGGGTTTTGCTATAGTATAGTTCGGACTTTTTAGTCCTGAACTTAATTCCGGTTGCATCTTCCATCCATATGTGTACCTCAAGGGCTACTTGGGACTTGCAATTGTGTCTGTTATCTATCACCACTTGGAAGGGTATGTCAAATTTGAGTTTTTCTCTCATTTTGGCCTGTACCGTTGTTATAGCCATATCATTTATGTTAATTCTCTTCTGAATTTTTTGGTGACTCATCATTAGATCTGGCTTTTTACCTTGTATCACAACAGCCTCTTGGCACTCTCAAAAGCGAAAGTAATGTACATAAATGTGAAATGGTGGAAGGTCGAGGGTGGTATCCATTGCTGTAGGGGGCAGATATGTATTGCCCCTCTTTTTAGTGAGACAAAAACAATAGATTTCGCTGAATTCAACTTTCATAAAACACAATTTTCATAGATATTCATCTGGCACAACAGCGGACACAGATTGCTTTCTCAATATCTTATTGCCAAAGTTATTTCACACTCAATACGTATTGAACTGTGGTTTATTTTCATTTATATGTTATTTATTGGAGGGAATGTATGCTTTCCGAAAATGGAGAAGTATACTCCTCAACTACAGAGAAATGAATGAGATATGTTTTATATTATATATTTATCGGCTTGATTGGAAACATTGAATAAGCAATACATTTTATTTGTCCCAATGTATTGAGTTTTTAGTGTGAAAGAAAATCACCCGGAAACTCCGGGGCAGTATGAATGATGCCTGGTGTATGAATGCAATTTATTAGTGTCAAAGTAATGATGCTGAGGATTTAACTAATGTTTTATTTTCTGTATGTGATAAACAAATTCCTACTGTGTGTAAACAAAAAGTTCATAAAGATCATTGTGTTACTATTCGGGCCATTTGGCCTTGGAGGTGATTTCTTGGTAAGATTCCTAAGTTACGTCGTAGTCCTATCTGGCCAAAGTCCACCAGCTTAGGTAAGTTTAAACGCGAAAGTTTCCCCAGCCAAGTTTACCTCTTCGACAAGGGGTGGGCTTTGCTTTTAGGAGAGAGAAAGAGAGGGTGAGAGAGTGTGAGTTGCTGTTCCACCGAATTGCGTCTGACTCGCACCGCATATTTACAAAACGAGCTGTTTAATAAACCAGCAGTGTGACCCTAACTGTAATTTTGAATCGAACAATCATTAACATCCCAAGAAAGATGCATGATCTGTAATTGATAAGTAACTTCCTGAGTATTGAATGAACAGTTTAATTATTTTAATGTATGTATATTTCATTTTGTACAATCTAACAATGAGATTGATCTTTTTGGTTTAACGTTAGGTTGGGATTTTTTTTATATTTGTGCTCTGCGTTATTTTTGTTATCGTTTATTTATTTTGTTGGTTAATACTACATCCAAGCGATTGTGCACCTTGCTTGAATTTCAAAGTTATTATGCCTCCAATGCCATCATCAAATTAGTGTATGTGTATGCAGAATTACATATCTGTAAAAAAATAAACATTGTTTTTAATTACGTAAAGTTTGTTGTAGAATTTATAAGAAAATGTGCGAATTTATCTAAACTTAATTAACACGTTATGCAGGATTATTATTACCGCGGCAAATGTTTCCCATTTGATGGATGTCAAGCCTAGTGGATTGATCGCAAGAGGACGCTTCGTTCTTTCGAGCATAATCACTAACATTGATCTAATACTGCTGTTGTATGACGTCCAGTTGGTTTCGTAAAGCCTTTCTCTTAGAACCTGACTCTGAAATTCAATAAAAAAAGAGATATAAAAAATATTAATTAAACTTTGACAGAAAACTCACTAGGTTCATTAGTTTCTGCCCGTAAAAATGGATAATACTCAACGCGGCCAGTTCGACAATGAACATAAGCGCACTGACGACTTTGAAACCGTAAGTAGCGGAAGACTGAAACAATAAAAATACATCGATGTAAAACTTGTGCGTGTAAAAATCTGTTTATTAACTCTCTGGTGCTAAAAATATAATCTAAAACATAATTAAAAGGAAATGGTCTGAACCAGAAAAGAACAAATCACGTCTCAAGAATTCCGTCGTTAGATTTTTACCGTTTTATTAAATTACAACATACTTATTTCAATGCATTAATTAAAAGAGATCAGAAATTCACGAGTTTAAAAAAAAATTAATTGCGATGGTTGAGACAAAATTCACTAAAACACCGGAAAATTATTTAGTGATAAATTGAAATTTAACTAACAATTGATAAACCATTCCGGCTCTTAAAACCGCCTATTACTTTCTATGGCCTCTCAGAAGGGCCTTAAATTTTAATAGGTATCGAGTGAATAAGCCATCGAATTCGTGGAACAGAATCCCATTCTTCAGCAAGAGCGGTTTGAAGCAATTCAACGTTTCTTGGAGGCGGTGAAGGATATCTAACCAGCCCTTTTTCATGTACCATAAGTGTTCTATGGGATTCATGTCAGAGTACATACTGGCCGATTCATTGTGGTTATCTGTGCATCCTCCAACTAATGGGTTAGTGGGTAACAACTCGAGCTTAATAAGTTCGAGCATTAACATACGTTAACAAGAAGTTGTCCCCCATAAATGGGGTTCATAGGACCATAGCTTCCCGAAGAATGTCCTCAATTTACCTTACTGCACTCGGAGATTCATTATATATGGTAATCCGTCCGGTACAGGCATGGTCGTTATTTCCACCCCCCAAACCATAACTGATTGTCATTTAAAAGGAAGGGACTCACGCTTGGCACATGAAGCAAAGTGTTCATCACATCTTCTCCATACACGGCCTCCATACATCATCTGATAGCTAGAAAACAAATAGGCACTCAACTGTGAAGGGAACCGCCCACAATTTTTCATGTATTCAAGCGCGATGCTGATTTGCAAATAGTCACCCTTCTACGCAATGCCTGTCCAGTAGTTGAAAACCTGTTACCGGACGTCTACTCCCTATTCTCACAAAGCTTTCTGACGACTGTTTTAGAGCTCACCATTACATTATTTGGAGTTGAGTATACACAAAGAAGCCATTAAATGGCTGTTTCGTAGTGTGGTAAGAGCAATAAAGCGATCATCTTCCAAAGTCCTTCATCGCGGTCAACCACTACATTCTTTTCGATTGAGACTTCGGTCAGCCGCTCTGGAACTGAATTGTAGAGCGCGGCACACCGTGGCTAGGTATGAGACGCTATGTCTGGCGTTGGGAAAGCATCTGCTGGTGGGATCTTCTCGAATTAAAACCGAGTTTTAAGAAACAAAATTAATAAGTAATTACTTTTCATTACAATAATTGTTCCCTCAAGGAAAACTATTTACAAAATCAATTAATTCACACCACAAATTTGTTCAGGCAAGGATGTAATTGAACTGATTTTCTTTATTTTTAATCAAAGTGTGCCATGAGGATTAGCAAAACTATAAAGGTAAACAACAAGTTATTAATATTTTGTTTACGTTTTATGTTAACTGATAATTTTTAGACCTAGTTATTATAGAAAATAAACAAGTAAGTACAAACTCTTTTTCTTTGAGTGTATGTAAAAGTTGATCGAGATGTACCTATTACTCCACCAACCTACTTGAGTGAAGTTTGTGCTATTTGTAGGTGAATGGTAGGAAAGTATGTTTTTAAGAATGAGTAAGAGTGTGTGTAAGTTTTAAAACTGGTGGCATGACGAATAAGATCAATACATTAACCCCGACACACCAATCAATTATAATATATCATTATAATAAATAAATTAGAATAAATATATCATTAAACTTAAAACAACTAATGTAAATTATCGACGTAGGTGAGTAATTCATAAGTTCTATTTTGCACAGGTGTGTATGTGCAGAGTTATTTATAAAAATCACTAATCAATAATCTGCATGCTATCTTTTGTGTTGTACATATACTGGAAGTTTTTACCAACCTGGCTTACAGCAAAATGTGAATGCTCACGTTATATAATTTATGATACTTACACTTATGGTACCTGTAAGGCTCACGGCAATCATCAGCGTCATCAAGTAATTACAGCAAAATAGAGGCTTGTTTATAATGGCAAATGATTCGTCAAAACCCCTGTAAAATCGTTAACCTCATCGTAACAACTCGTAATGTAATACAATGGCGAAGGGGCAAACAAACTGTTTACCATTTACAACTTATTATTATATTAACTATTTACACTTGTTCAATTAATATTGTTGATAGTTTGTCTGGGGCAAGCGCCCTTGTTTATGTCAAACAAAATAATTCTAAAAAAGGATCGACCACCGTCTGGATTGCACAGAAAGTTGTCGTCCGTAAAAAAATGTGACACTAGTTTAGATGAGTTGAAATATCGTGACGAGAGAAATGTCTCTAAAAAACATTAATAAAAGAAATTATTTATATTCATGCAGCTTCTTACTCGGGAAACATACGCACTAAACGGTTGACTTCTATCTTTGTTTTTGCGGGAATATAGGGCAATTTTAAAGAAGAAAAAGAATAATACGCTTTATCTTTTAAATTATGACTAATTTGGTCTAGATTTATCTTAATTTTTTTTAACCTATCACACGAAATCAATACTTTCAATTCAAAATTCTCCGCCGTATCCTCAATGCCCCATTCTACGTCACCAATCAAACGATCCGTAAAAATCTTAAAATCCCAGTCGTGAAAGATGTTACCCGAATTCGCTTGCTCTACACTATCCCACCACCTTCTTCCTCAACGGCATACTCTTACAATCCTTCATACCTTAAAACGATGGCCTCGTGACCTTAACACGGCCTTAAGATCTTAATGGACCCAAATAAATAATATTTACCTATCCAAATCATCGCCCTACACAGGGATAAAATAGTAATCGAATTTGATTAATTGACAGTTTTTATTTTTATTTGTTATTAAAAAACATAAGTACATTTAACATTTATATTTATATTTTACAACATTACCTTAAAAGGCTTACCTTAAATTTTATGAAAATTATCATTTATTATTATCTCTAGCAAATTTTAAAATTTAAGACCATCATACATCTGTAATTTACATAAAATTTACCTAATTTAGATTAGCTTTTTATAAAATGTTGTAAATTTAGATTATTAATGTTATACTTATGCCTTTTTATAAACAAAACCGAAGCTGATGATTGGTGTAAATCCCCGTGATGTCCATATAAACGTAAATAAATAATGTATACATTTTTAATTTAAAAAAACCACACGTTTTCTAACATAAACCACCAAACATAAAATTTAATTTTTTTTTTATACACTGAAGGATAAAATTAACTCACCACTCAATTTATTTAGTTTAAAATCAAATCTATTACATTTCTAAATTAGAGCTAATTAGGACCTATCGTAGTCAAATTAAACAGTGTTTAATGCTTTCTTTACTTTTGTACAAATTAGTCCCAATTGCAATAAATGCCCATCCGTTATGCTTTGCCTAAACCTCGCTGTCAGTTAATCTTTTTCGTTTGTTGTTTTCATTAGATTTTTTTTCTTAAACCTTTTTCAATGGATCCAGTTAGGCATTTGAGCCAGCGCGATGTAGCCAGGAAATTGAGTGTACAGCATTATACAATAGGAAGCGTTCTTTGGTGCTTCAGAGAAAAAGGGCTTAACACTGGAAGGGCAGGGCTGGGGTAATTTATGTCTACGAACAAGAGAAGCAATTGATCCATCCGTTATTAGGTTCTACGAAACCACACACAAAAATCGTTGTGGGAAATGAGATAAGAAATCTGATAAGACAAGAACGAAATGTTTTGATTTCTGCCAGAACTGTAAGAAGGCTCTATGAATTTAACCGCAGGACCCGGCACCCGGCTCGTGGAGCTCTTCCAATCACAGCTCAGAAAATGGCCAGGCTCGAATTGGTATGGGAACATGTGAACTGGACATTGGAAGATTACCGATGAGTTCTCTTTACAGGTGAGGTGAGAATTGGCCTCAAATATATATGTTCTTAATTTCATATGGAGAAGCTCAGGAAAAAGGTAACCCGATGGTGTAAGGTTCCTCAGGTGGCATTCCACGGTGGGTCATTGATGTTCTGGGGTAGCATTTCCTTGGACGCCGAATTGGTTGTTGTGCGAGTAAGATCTCTAACTTCACAGAAGTATTTACAACACATAATCGAAGAACATGTAGTGCCATTTGCCCCCACATCAGTGAGAAATTCTAGGTAGTGCAGGGTAATAGCAAGCTCCAGTGAGCACGAACTGTGGATGATTACCTGAATGTTGTTGCAATTAAGCGTTTGGTGTAGCTCGAAGTCCAGATTTCCAACAAACCGAACACATTTGGGACGGACTTAAGCGACGAGTAAGCCGACGAAACATAGGCTATAACACCCTAGAAGAGTTGGAAACGTTGTTCTTGATGAATGGGAAAGAATTCCTTGGGATTTTATCAGATATTTTTTCCAAGGGGTGCAAAGGATCTTAACGAACCTGATTTGTGCCAGGGATAGAAATATTCGGTACTGAAGGAAACCGAAAAGTTAAGAAAGGGAACTCTGTTATTCCTATTAAATAAGAGGAAATAATAAAAGGAAAAAGATTTCTTTCCATCCTAACCGCGTGGGTTTGTCCCTCCGGCGCTATAACAAGCGGTTTGTGCTCTCGCAGACTACAACAGTGACATGGCTGAAATCCAACGGCAAATGCAAATAGAAAATAACCAACTAAGGACATATTTAAAAAGTAGTGTTTGATCGTTCTCGAAAATTTTGGTTTGCCAGACGCGATTCATACTATATTTCTTATATCCTATCTCTTTTTTGTAGGACAAAACTAAACGATCTGAGAAAATTGAATAAAAGCAAATCGGGTTATTGAGTGTTAATTAATTCCTCAAAATCACACCTTTTTGGACAAAATAAAACACTAGCTAATGTCAAGTCAGATCAAATGGAACGTCGAATGGACGGGTGGTATATCTCACCCAATTTACTAACTAAACTCTTTAATTCATTACGGTTGAAGCCATAATTTTTAATGTTCTAAGTAAATATTTATTTTGCCTGTAATGTACTGTAGAAAGCTGCTAAAATGGATCCCAAAGATGCTACCTTCCTCATATTGTATTTAAATGATTCTATTTGTTATATTTTTAAATCGCAATGGAGGGGATAAAGAAACTGCCTTATCCCAGATTTTTATATGGAATTTAGAGTACTAGAGTGTATTTCCTTAACTATTATAATGAATGGAAATTTGAGTGTTGTATACCTCTGGTTCAATTAAAATTTATAAATATATGACGTCTTTTCCATTTGTGAGTACGCTAAAAACTGGTAAGGTATTATATTCATTTTGTAACGTGGTAATTTGTAAATTTATTTGCCACCCTCACAATAGACACAAAAATAATAACTTTAAATAAATAATAAATTACAGTAGAATCGATTGGTGATGTTTGACATTCTCCTTCAAACATTCTTTGACGCAGTACTGGAAGTAAGGGTGTCGTTTTGTGAGATGTCCAAGTTTGGCGTAAGGGAAGAGAATTTTCATTAGTCGATTAGCTCTCGTTTCCAGCCGAACAAGGGAATCGTTGAGCAACTCCATCTGGATGGTAATTTGCTGGACGCAAAACATGTATGTGCTAATAGCGGCTGGCATGGTGACACCGATCGGGAGGGCTGCGATGATCTGTAGGAGTGACAGGGCGTAAATCGTGGTCGTGTCTTCTACTTGGACAGGAAGCCAGACGGCTACGGGCAATTGTACGTTAATGCTTTTCGGGATATCTTCTAAGGACAATTTCACTGGTGAATACTTGTCGACCAAAGGGGTCATAAACAGGACGAACAAAATGCAAAGACCGACGCTAATCGGACCACCGATGAGTAAGGCGATTCGTTCCTTTTTACCCCTTGACCGTAGTCGTTCAGCATCATCCGTAGCATCCTCGTTTTTATATTCATAGAAATTGCTTATGCATCGTCTTATAAACCTGAAACATAATTACATATTTATTGCTCTGAAAATGGAAGAAATTCGTGATACTGATTGATTCAATTCCAAAGTCTGACAATTTTTAGAGTTGCAAAGACATGACAAAGAAAGTTGAATATTTGTAATTTATTCATTACCGATTATTTTGGTCTTTCTGTCATTCCTATGTTGGGTCTGTGTGATTTCTGTGAAGTGAATTTTATAAGGACGTTATGGGTGGGGTTCATGTGACGGCAATATCTTTCTTTATCAGTGTCTCATTATGTCTGATTTTATTTCAAATTATTGCTCTAGTCGGTTTTGTTCATCGTCAATCTTTTTTTGACTGGTGCAGTTTTGAATGGTGTAAATGATGTACAATACACACTAACTTTAAAGTAGTCAGATAAATTCAACTTATTTCCACTTTGATAAGAATATACCAAGTAGCTTTTTTGGAAGAAATTTTCATTCAAATTTATTGAAGCCAGTAAGTTGCGAGTAATAGCGATTCGCGTAGAATAAATGGAGCGTAACATAATTGTAACTATCGTATTTTCGACTTATTCACAAGGCTATTGTTACATGTTAGCAAGGTTTAACCCAAGCCTATTAAAATACGAAGTACATTTGGGTTTCGTAATATAAAAGATACACCAATTGGTAAGTAGCATGGAGAGATTCATCAAATGATTGATCATTACTTTGTATATGAAGCCGTTATCTCTTTTACTCTCTCTCTCTCTCTCTCTCTCTCTCTCTCTCTCTCTCTCTCTCTCCCTCTCCCTCTCCCTCACTCTCTTTCTCTCTTTCTCTATCTCTCTCTATCTCTCTCTCGCTCTCTCTCCCTCTCTCTCTCGCTCTCTCTATCGCTCTCTCTCCCCTCACTCTCTCTCTCTCACTCTCTACCTATCTATCTATTTATCTATCTATCCACCTATCTATCTATTTATCTATCCATCACTATCGTTCTCTATTTATATATCTTTATCTATGTATCTCTATCTCTCTTTTATCTCTTTCTCTCTCTTTTATCTCTCTCTATTTCTCTCCATTTATTCTATCTATCACTATCTCTCATTTCTTTCTTTCTCCCATGTTTTTTGTTATCTCTTTCTATCTGTATATCTATGAATCGATTTATACATTATCTCTACCTATGGAAATGACCGTCTATTCATAATGCTCGAATATTAAAGTGGCTTTTCAATCAAACGATAAATCACTTCTTCTTGAAAAATGCTAAACGGCTTGATCAATTTCGAGTGATTAACAGCTTTTTTTCTACTGTAGATATTATTTCTTCATCGATTTGTATTGATTCTAGTACTTAATATCTACGTAAAAGAAGGATGAACTAATTATGACTGAGAGAGAGAGAAAGAGAAACAACCAGATAGACAACCTGACAAGACGACATTATGAAAACTCATATTACGTTTTTGTCATATAAAATTAAAATTTTCCTTGATGTGATACAAAACCTATTGTATATAAAAAGACAGAGATTCGTCGTACATGAAAGAAGAAAAAACGATATCGTAAACTCTATTAAGGCACATTAGAAATTTTATCGTTGAAGCCATAATTTTTAGTATATGTAACCAAGTATATGTTAATTTTTGTAAACCATGTAATTGATTATAAATAGTTTCAAAGTCTTAATATATTCTTCAAAACTATAAAGAAAAAATGAGTTTTTTTCCAAATGCGCTTTATTCCATTTTTTAAATATACAATTGAAATCTATTATTTTTAACTCATTTTTATTCATTTTTATAGCATCATCATTATTTTTTTAATTGTCATTGGTTGCTCAAAACGCTTAGTGCCAAGAAGCCTTTTAATTTTTTGTAATAAAACTGATACATACGAAAGGATTTTCCGAATAATTCATTTACAATAAAAACAATGAAGATATTGCGGTCACTTACTTGTTCAAATCACGTCGAGAACTAATGACAAGAACTGCTAGCAAGGTAGAGAATAAATATGTGATCGCAATTGACAACGAAAAGGCTAAAGTCACCAACTGATCCTTGGCCAGGTATGCTGTTATCATAAATTGAACCAAGTGGTACGTCAAGAAAAAAAATATGGCAAAGCAAAGTGACGTCTGCCAATAACGATTTTTTTTGTCCAATTTCATGTAGAAGCACGAAAGAGAGAGGAGAACATTAAATTCTTCTTGGATCTGTGCGTTTATCGCTTCGCTTCCATCCTGTTCAAGGCGATCGTAGAAGCTGGAGACACAGCCCATTTTATCGAACCGACTCCCGGAGCGTACTGTATTATTTTTGAAAATCAGAGGTCTTTCTTGAATAAATAAAATCGTCAATTTTTAAGTAATGCGGAGTAAAAGTTTTACCGACCAACTCGTATAGAGGTCCTGTCGCCTAAACTTCCGTACCTGGCTGACGTATTCATGAGGAAAAACTGCACGCGAGTTCCACACAAAATCGAACATTCCTCGCTTCTATGTCAGAAAAAATTAATTTCACTTAATAAAACATGAAGCAATGTTGCTAAATCAACTTTTATTCTTATGCCAGCGATATTTTTTCGATCATCAATAAAAAAATTCGAATATAAATTTACTTGTATACGTAATAATGGTAAAGACTGCTAGTCAACTGAAAGCACATGTGCATTTGTAAATTTATTATAATGGCAATTTCATTGATTGTGGTTTTGTCAGTGCGCAAATTTGGAGCTTTGCCACCACACACATATTCGGTGTTGTTCAGCGCTTCGTTGTAATCTTTACCTGGATCATAGCACAACAGCTTGTTTAAAAAAGACAGAAATGTAACTTTGAATAGCACATGTTAAATCTTTGAGAACAAAATCGTAACTTTCTAGAGAAGCATAAATCTCCAACACTTTCAACTCGGGCGGCCCTACTCATTCCTGGCTCTGTTATTATAGCCTACACGGAACTTACTTTAAAAGAAGATTTTAACTCTGGATTATTATCAGAGCTGGGATGCAATCCCAGTGCTCGAACAAATAAATTTTTATAATTTTGAGCTGTAACGCTTATTTTCATATATTCAAAATCCTAATAATCACGCTGTAGATTAATGTTAAAACAAGCTGATAACATTAAACTTGAATCCAAAATCACGTAGCGTAGCTCTTATTCATCAATAGAAATCACTGCTATTTGTAAATAGCCATCTGCTTGTGACTAAAGTAACAATTTCATCATTTCAAACGTATTAAAAAACATTACTGTTATTTATTCAGAAATCGTGAGTTGCGGTCTGGTGTGATGTAGGTTTCAGAAAAACACTTTCTTTATAGTGCCAACGTTTCGATCTTTATTGAGATCATCTTCAGCGCTCAAAGTGTTTGTCTTCTGTGTAATTGTGCCACACGCAAGAATGGCTAAATTTACGTAATGTAACCCTTTCCTTACCGTTATTTTTGTTCGTGGGATTTAGAAATACAAGTATGTACGAATTGATGCAAAAAACGATTTCTAATTACATCTATCTCTTTAGAACATTATACCTTTGGTAAATCTACTGTCCCCTAGCAACCGATTATAGTCCCCAAAGGAATTGAATAGTATGCCTCACCGAAAAAAAACCAAGAACAACCAAGGCATCAACTGTTCCTTGTCGTCACACTAGATCTACACTGGCTTTTCTTTTTGGTCGACGGCCATTAAAAACCGGTGACACTCGCATACCTTCGACGGAGCCTGTCTGTTGCCATGGGAACACTGCCGAGTTATTTCATTCTTTGTTTAAGAATTACGTAAAGACATATCCCACTACAATCACAATACATACTTAAGCCTAGGTAACTAACATAATCAAACATAACCAAATCTATTATGTACCTGTGTGATAAATAAAAAATAGTGATGACAGATGACCCATATCGATTATTAGATAACGCAGACAACAGAGCATATCCTAGGCAATTGCACTGCAAGACCTCCGGAAAGGCTATGGACTTCGAAAAGTCATTTTTTGGCAATGTAAATGTCGATACCACGTCCAAGCGAAGAATTAGGTACTTTTGGGGGGCGTCGGTGGCCGCAACGATTTAGGCGTTGACACGGCGCTCATACTGTAAAGTAAAGGTCCCGGGTTCGAATCCAGCGGCCCTTCATTCGAACCCGACATACTTACAAATGTTTTTTTGTTTTTTCAAAAACACCGGCACCCTGAAGTCATATATGACCTCTGCTGTTTCGAACCCTCGAAAAAAAAAAATAGGTACTTTGTTAAAGAAAGAAAAACTTTTCTGGAAAACAAATACCCGAGTATGGGCGCAATAAGTGCAAACTTTAGGAATGAAGAAGAGATCAGTAAATTATGAAAAGAAAACAACGACTTCAAACAAAATCTGTACACTTTAAAAAAAAAAAAGTTGTGAAGGATTCCCGAAAAACGAGGGGGTCAGACTTTAGATATGATTTTTAGATCAGATGGTTTATGGTCCAACAAATTGAACAATTACTAATTTTAATAATTTCTTAAAACTCCAGAATCCAAAAAATTTCAATCCGTTTAATCCAAAACAAAAATCATATCTAAACGAAGTCACTATATGTTTTAATTGAATCATCTAACGTTGGGAAAAAATTACAGAAATAACTGTTTATACATAAACTGAACAAGTTGCACAGTTCGTCGAGACATTTGAAGAATAATTGGTCACACTGCTTACAGTCAATGGCTGACAGCATTTTCACAATCATTGCCCAAAGGTATAGAAGCATGCTAACATCTGGATCATTAATAACTGATTGTGAGTGGGGGCAAGAATTGACAATAGAAGCGTAAAAAAAAACTTGGCAAGGAATCTCAACACCCAATGCGAGATTGATGGATATTCTACCGCAGAATAAAACAGTATATTTTTTAATTATTTTTATGGCAGATCGAGCTAGCAAACGCCGGGTCCAATAATAGGGTCCAAATAATAAATATCTATTCAGTCTTCCAGTTGTAATGTAAGTATTGATTAATTGTGTGCTATCTTGTTTTGGACTGCGAGGTGATGATGTTGTTTGGTTGCTTAGTCATGCAAATTTAGACATTTCGGCATCCTTCTGGTTTGTCACCTTGCAGGTCCTTAAGAAAGGCCTTTCCCATTTTTAAAGTTTATTGAATAATATAAAATATATATACTATATAAATATCGATAAATATTGGCCATGGGAGGGTCTGCCAACTTTTTGGTACGAGTTAAAAAATATGCGCTTTATGAAAGAGTCGGCAAATATCAACAATGAAAAAGTACAAATAAATTCTCTGCCAGGCTACTGAAAACCTGGTTGTTCGGCTTTAATTATTTATGGAGATTGCGTATTCAAATTGGATTTGTATGCATCGATGTGAGAAATGACTTTAATTGCACAAGCGATGAATAGTAAATCATTGTCGCGGCAAGGAATTTCTCCCCTTTATTTATAATGTCTTCCTGACTTGAGTTTTCGCCTTTTCAGATTGCACCATTCAGAAAGCGGGCAAGGTGATGAAATATGAGTTTTATTTCTATTATATGTCGCCTGTGTTTTATGCGTCGACCAGCCCCTCGCCTGCATTAAGGGACGGCCTGTGATAAATCAGCTCGGCCTCGCGGGTGAAAGAAGCCACCGTGCTCAGCGGTATAATCAAACCAACCCCAGTCGGCCTGCAAGGAAAAACTGTAACCGCGAGCCGGTTTTTGACGATTTATACGAACCGGATGATAATTAATTATATAATCCGCCTCCCTTTGTAATCGGATAATAGAAATTTTATGTGACACGATTAACGGCAGCGGGTGAAATTCATTTCCTCGTCTAATGCCACCCCTTTCTCGCACCTCTGAATTCATTAAAACTCCCGACCGCACGGCAAATAGCGGTGGCCACGTTTATCATAATTTCATTTTTTAAACTTATAAGAGGTGTTTACGAAAGTGAGATCTCCGATTTCAGAACTTTTTTCTTGCTACTTCGCCGAAAAATATTAGATAATGTTACAAAAATATTAGTATCCGCGCGTTTTGCAATGGGAGAATGTTCTAGGATAGAACAGGTAGGATCTAGGAATAGGAATGTTGTACACACAATCGTATCAGACTGAAAGAATCGTATTTAAATAAATACAAAGTCACAAAATCAAAAACAAAATTTACAGCTTTTTTTTTTAAATGCATTTTTTTTAACAACCATCAACCCTTAAATACGAATTAATTTTATATGAAAATAGTAAACAAAAAGTAGACATTTTTTGGTTGGATTCAATTTTTATGTTTTTCTGTTTTTCTTAAAGTTTATAACTGCTTTTGGTTTCACCCAAATTATACGATACCTATATCTACTACATTTCTACTAGTATGTCAATTAAACCACCAAACATTTCATTTTATATCTCCGGTTTCCATTTATTTACGCCGCGTTTACACCATTACATGATTATTATAAGCTAGTATGCATGTGTATAGTTTCCTAGAGCCGTTTCAAGTTGATCACCCTTTTGTTGTAAAAAAAATTTAAAATATTTGAAATCGAAATAATTGAGAGAAAAAGTAACTTTTTGATTTCCCAACAATTTTGTATTTCTGATTATTTTTACAGTGTAAAATTCGACAATTGCTTGGTCACAAATTAGGTATTAAAAAATAGTTCCAATTTCCTAGTAATCTGATTGATTTTTTTCGTGTTTTCGCAAAGTACGCTCTAATATTATATATATTACATATATAATATATAATACTGTATATGAATATATATCCACTCGGACACCAATTTCTCATACATAAAGATTAATTAATTGAAATAATTTTTTTGGTCAATTGAACGAGGAAATATAATGGATTTAATAAGTAAAACGAAGTATGTCATCCCTAAAACTCTCTGTGGCCATTTCATTTATCGCCGAGAATCGAATCTTGATTACACGATATTTGAAAAACTAAATTTGTATTCCTGATTATTTTTACGGTGTAAAATACAGCAATTGCTAGGTGTCAAATTAGGTATTTTTGTATTAAAAGATAGTTCAAATTTCCTAGTAATCGATTGATTTTTTTTCGTGTTTTCGCAAAGTAGCCTCCACTATATATATTATATATATACACTATATATACATATTATATATATAATATAATACATATTATATATATAATATAATACATGTATAATACTGTATATGAATATATATCCACTCAGACACCAATTTCTCATACATAAAGATTAATTAATTGAAATATAATGGATCTAATAAGTAAAAGGAAGTATATCTTACTAAA